TTTTCTCTCAGAGAACAGTTATATCTTTCTGCAGTGATCCCGTGCCACCCATAACCATGGGGGTGGCGGGGAGCGCTCAGGAGGCCAGTCTGAATTATGAGACTTGGCAGCTTTTTTCTTTGACTCCGTTTCATCTTTAGCTCCTAAATTATTTTCTATTCTCAAATTACACAAATCTGTTTGAGCTCCTTTATGGACATTTGAAATAACCTTAGAAGTACTTTTTTTGCCTGTTTGGCTGCTTTAATTTTTCCAAGCAACTCTTTAGTTTTACAAAGTAAAAGGATTAGGGAGCTTTATTCTAATTATCTGTGTCTTAAAAATCTATTTAAGGGATCTGATATATCCCATCTTACTACTTCCCTGCCCCTGACGGCCACCAACTTTACCTTAGTCAGTTGCTTTGCGCGTGCTCCTGTGGTCCTTATAACTTGCCTCAGCTGGTCCACCTTTTCAGGTTTCAGGGGTTTCGGCTCCATCTGTCACCGGCCAGCAGTGACACCTAAATACCACCTGAGAGAGGGCTGGGAGAGAGAGACAGGGTGACACAGAGAAGGACAGCAAGTCTACATGCTGATCCTGGTGTCGATTTAATGGACGTCAGGTTAACACTTAGGTAGGCAAAAAAGTACAAGCAGTTTTTCACATAGGAGCTTTACTTGGTCAAAACATAGGAGAGCTCACTCACGGTTACACAGAGCCTGCTGTCTGGTTACTATGGTTGCACAGAGTTTCTTGGGGTCAGAGCAGTCCACTGTAGGACCACCAAGGTCAGTTTATGAGTAACTGGACTTTGGAAAATAGCCAAAGCCAAGAGGCCGAATTCCACTGCTCAGATGCCATTAACTCCAAATTTGCCATTAACTCCAAAAAGGCTGCCACAGGTTTCTTGCTCTGAATTTAGTGAGTTGCTGCTATTTTTACACTGTTTTTCAGGCCCAGGCCTCTTGAAGAAACTGGGAGCCCTGTGGTTTGGTCAGTTTAGTTATGGATAACTGGTTGCCCTTGGAGCTGTATCTGGGGCTGATTGCAGGGATCCCAGGCTTCTATAGGTCTGAGGTTGGAGCTGTGTGCCCCAGTACCTAAGCACTAATCAGTCGCAGGTGTTCACAGCTCTCATGCGTCCAGCAGGAGCTAGAGCCTGGAGTCTGTGGGAACCCAGAAACTTTTCCAGAGCTGGGTGTCCTGAGGTTGGACCAGAAGTTCACCCCCCACTTTGGGGCTTCCTCCCAACATGGAGATCCTGTCTGTGGTGTTTGGGATCCAGAGTTCCATCTGGGATGGTGCTTAGAGCAAGTAGTCAAGTGGTGGCTCCAAGCTGGCAACTTGGCACCTGTAGGAACCCGGAAACTTTTCAGGCTCAGGGGAGTGGGTGGCTCCAAGCTGAAGAATGGATGTTTGCAGGAACCTGGGAACTTTTTCCAAGAACTTTTCTGTGTGTCTGTGGTGTGTGGAGGTGGGGTGGGGAAGGTCAGCTGAAGGCTCTAAGCTTGGACCTGCTGATTCCCTAGCTGTCAGGTTTTCTCCCAAAAGGTAAACTCAGTTTCTGGTGCCCTGTGGCCCACAGTTCTGTCTAGGATGGTGAGTCGGCACTCAGTAGGTCTTTGGGCTGGGAGCTGTGCACCCCCTCTGGGATGGTGGCTAAGGGCCCCTCTTTGGTCTATGGGGTTGTGCTTCTCACTCTGGGCCTGCTGCTGAGGGCCCTGCTCTGGACTTGCTGCTGGGGGCCTTGCTCTGGGCTGAAGGCAGAGGGCCCTGAGCTGTGCTGGCAGCTGAAGGCCTTGCATTGGGCTGGGGGTTGTATATCCCACTCTGTGATGGCTGCTGTGCACCCTTCTCTGGGCTGGAGGCTAAGGGCCCCATGCAGATATGGTGGTTGTGATGGGGATGTGTGCCCAAAGGTCCCTGGGACCTTTTCCCGGGGGTGACTGGGTGACCCACACCTTTGGATTTTCTCTCACCTGTAAGTCACAATCACTGGTGCTTTGGGGCCCAGAGTTCAGTCACCTGGTCGCTGTGTCCACACTGCTGTCCTGTTCCTCAGACAGTGTCCTCCTGGGGGG